ATTTTGGAGTTTTTATTAGCGTTAGCATTATAAAAAATTAATTTGTGCGACAATGATTATCAGATACTCTTCGAAAATATGATTGGACAATAAAATCTCGATCAGATACTATTCTGATCATATAAATATGTAAAAATCTTTAGCGTTAGCGCTTAAATTTATTCAATGTTTGCTCGCTGTACGTGTCATTTCTCTTCGCAAGCATGTTTATTGGTACCACCAATATTAGGTACAAATGGAAATTTCATGTTCAGTCTGAGAACATTTAATTTCAAATTTAAAAAGAAAAATTTTAGATAATTACTCACTCATTTAAAAAAACATTCAGAGCGCACATTTCATACTACTTTACCAGTATTAAAACGTCGTCCTCAGGAAATAAAGAAAAAAAACATTGCGAAAAAATTATCTAAATTAGAAGCCGAGAAGGCATCGATGCCTGATCCGATTGTCGGAGTTCCCACAGAATTCACAAAATCTTTACTTCGACCTTTAGACGTCTATAAAGCGGCTGTTGATCCAAATGCACCTAAGTATATGAATTATTTTCTTGATAAAAATGAAGAAGATTTGTTATTTGAAAAAACACCAAAGAAAATTGCCGAAGAAGCTGAAAAATCACATAAAATTGAAAGTGAAAAAAACTCGATAGGATTGGTTGAAGAAAAGAAGGTGGAAATATTGAAATCATTGGTTAGTTTACATAATTCGAATGCGAAAGGCATTATGATGTATAATGTTAAAAAAACAGTTGAAGAATTTGGTAGGAACGAGAATGATACTGGAAGTGCAGAAGTCCAAGGTAAGAATTATTTAATCCTGCCTTTTATTATGACAGCCGAGAATTTTAAATTTTAAATAGGATATTAACTCTATTATTACATTATTATTAGCTGCGATATTGACAGTACGTATCCTAAACCTTCGTGAACATCTTAAAAATAACCACAAAGATAAACACAATTATCGGAATTTACGACAGTTGGTACATAAACGTCAAAAACTTTTAAAGTATTTAAAAAGAGAGAGTTTAGATAGATATTTTACAACTATCAAAAAACTTGGATTGGATGAAAGAGTAATTGAGGGTGAAATCGTGATTTGATTCTAATCATTATTTTGTTGAGTTCTGTCAAATTTAAATTTATTCAATATTGAAACGTTCTAATAATTATATATATTACCTATTGAGAAGTTTATTTAATTTAATTACTGCCGGTTTTTTTTGATATGTAAAAATTTTATAAATGATTTCTTATTTACAATTCAAAGGTTAATGCTAGATACTATTACCTACATAATCTTGTATTATAAATAACTAAATCATAACTTACAGAACTCAAACTTTATATCAAATTCTACCAAACCCTATCCTTTCTTTGGCTTCTTTTCTTCAGTGAGTTCAATATTATCCTCTGGCACCTATATTAGATAAATCGTTTTTTTTCGAAGAGTATCTGATAATCATTGTCGCACAAATTAATTTTTTATAATGCTAACGCTAATAAAAACTCCAAAAT